GACAAAACAAATTTCTACTCAGTTCTTTCATTGGCTACCTGCAACAGATATGCTCGACTAGAAGAAAAATGTGACAAGAGCAATGATATTACAAAAATACAGAAACTTTGGCAGATGAATTAATCAATATAATAATTTTTGTTTGTAGCCCTCCTATTTTGCTATTACATGTTGTATGGTAGAAAATTATCATCATAAAAGAAAATGATGAGATTTTTGTTTCAATGAAGAGATAAATTTCTTGAAATACTTATGCCATAAAATGTTTCAAGATTTTTTTTTTTTTAAACACAAGGAATACAAAACTTCAGTCATAGTTCAGAGATTGCTTATTGCTGTTCCAGCTATGCCATAAAGTTTCATCATCTTCCAGATACTCTATGTTACTGAAGGAAAGGGGGTGTTGTTTAAACATTATATTTGCACAGGTATATAGATAGGCTTATAACATTCAACACCTTATTAAATCATTTTAACATTTACAGATTTGATCATTAAACAGATAGGTCTTGCACAGGAAATACAAAACTTCCTCAGATAACAAACAAATGAGCCAGAAAAATATCTATAAAGGAAGTCTCACAATATTAAATGTACTGTTTAAAAATATATATATTCCTGCTTTTTAATTACAAAATGTAAGTAAGTAAAAAAAAATTGATAGAATGAATGAGCAAGTAACCTAATAATGTTTTATGAAGAAACTTGTACTGAATTATCAAAAAAGTACTCTAGTATGTTAGTGATATAATCAATTTAAAACTATATCAAGACTTTAATCAATATTGCAATGATTTTAATCACCTATAAACTGGAAAAGCAATGAGGCCTTATATTTAACCCAAGTGATTCAAATCACACTTGAATACGGATGTTAAATTAAGTGCAAGTAAAAAGTACTTTAAAACAATTTGTTCTGACCATACAAATCTATGTCCAGGTGGCCTTTTGTTCAACTAAGAATATCAAGATGACTGATAAATGTGTTGGTGGCATTGCCATAAGAAGTGTATGATAGGAAATATTATACATAAATACATTATTCTGCAAAATTCAAAATGAACTGAATAACAAAATCACAAATAACTGAGTTGGATTTGGTTGTTGGAAGCTTACTTTATGCTCAGTGTGTCTTAAGACTAAATATTATCTAATCAAAAATACCTACGGTGTGATAAAAAAGGTGCTTTAAAAAAATGATTCAGCATGCGACTTAAAGGAATGAAATAAAAAATGGTGTCAAACTGGTAGGTACACTTATAGCATTAATAGTAAGTTTACAGCAAATATTCATTTGTTAGTTAGACAGGCTATATTTTTTGTTCACCTTTGGGCATGATACAACCCTATTATTCAGAACAGACCTTTACAGAACCAACCAAGTTGTTTAAAATATATGGTGGTAATTTTTCCTCACTAAAACAGTGTTAACAGCTTCCTTTATACTAATGCTATGGAATTTGGATTAACAGTTTCTTGTCATCATTTCCATGCAATTGATACAGCCTTATCAAGCATCTTTATTCATGGTCATTGCTTAAGCTAATATCATGTGATGCAAAATGCTCTTTAATTAGGATAATTTCGTAAAATTTAGTAAATTTGTCATGAAAAGTTGGCAATGAATAATCAATAATAACCACCTAAATGTATGAATCTTTTGAAAACTTGAGCTAGAAACTGCTAATCTATTGGCTTAACTAATACTTATGTATCTGCACATCTTTTCAACTTGTAGTTTTGCTGCTCTAAATCAGTCGTCTTTAATCCAAATGACAAAAACTAAAAATAGTCCACTTTTACTGTTAGATGAAGCTGTAGTAAAAAATGTTAGACCGATGTGACATTTTGTATAGATGTGTGCAAAAATGTTCATTAAATTTGAGTGTTTTTTGTTGAATAACCTTGCACATGTGGTTTATATTTACACCAAATGAGACTATCAGTGTACCAAATTTGAAAAAATCCATAGAAGTATGTTTTTCGTTCAAATAAAGTTTTCACACTTTTGGTGTGATGAAAAGAAAAAAGTGAAGAAACTCAATCAAAATTGGAGATGTTATATTTCAGGTATTTCTTAACGGATTACCTTGAAGTTTGGTATGTGAATTAAGAGTACAGTAGATCACATCCACAAAAATATGTGACAGTTTGGATTACCACAGTCTGAGCTACAGAAGGTGGAAAATTGCTAAAGTATCACTCCTGTTAATAACACACAGTGTGTCCTGCAGGTTGTTTTTCTTACTGCAAGACATACTACCATGTGTCTAGATTTTATAAAACAAAAATATAAAAATTCACAGTTGCAGTTAATAAACAGAAGTATATATTTTTTGTGGTATACAGGAAAAACAATAAACAGAACTTGCCATTTTCATGCAGTAAAACATACAATCATTTAATGTGCCTATTATAAGCAACATATTCATAATAATCAAGTACCAGATGGCCTTACTCTTGTTCTTGAAAGGCCAAACTTTGTATGAGATATTTATTGTGCCATTACTAATAATATATGAAAGAGTAGTTTCTAATAGTTTGTTGTGTAGTTAACAAACTTGTATCTTAAATATAAACTATAGTTCTTCCAGACTTTCATTACTTTTAACATTTTTTAACTTGTCCTTTTTAATATTATCTGTCCTTCAATTTATTTTTTTTATCTCAACTGTCCAGAGTTAGTAGCTTGTTTCTTTTTCTAATACTCAGTGTTGAAAAAAGCACTTCTGACCATTGTTCAGTGTTAGAACAAAGTTGTTATCATAGCCACTGTTCTTTGTTAAATTTAGTGTTTTTTGACCACCAATTTTTTATACAACATTGAGCTTAGTCATTTTGGTCACTGTCCAGAGTGAAAATTAGTAGTTTTTGACCACTCCTTGTATGATCAACTATCATGTGTTTATTTGATAATTACTTATTTTGGAAATTCTGTAATATTCTACAAGGTATGTTCATTAAACATATATTTAAAAGAAACAAATATTATGATATTTGTTTTCTCTCTGTTACGACAGCGGAAGTCACGCAATGCTGGGAGCATGCACGCTGGAGTTTCTAGATGGATCATGACTTAGTGGGCAACCTCATGAATGTCCCAGCGTTTGCTGGACGCTCTATTTTTTAGTATATAAGCTGGAGATAGACATGCAGATAGATTCAAGATAGAGATAATTGAGTCAAGCGAACAGTAGGCACCGTAAGTAAAGTGTGTGAACCACTGTGATTTTTAGCGTGTGTTATAAAGGTTGTTAAGTTTAAAGTGACTGTAAAAATTCTGTGTATTACAAAAAGTTGTATCGAGAAAGAATAAACTAGTTTTAATCAAGAAGGGACTTGTATCACTGAAGTTTCTCAGAAAGAATTTTTACCGGAAATTAACAAACAAGCAGATACGTAACATCTCTTTTAACTTTGTATTAAATTAAAGATTGTCTCATTATACAAGAATTTCACATTTCCCAAATTAACTAAGTGTTTGCTAAACACTATTTATTCATTGATCTGCTTTTCCATAAATATTTGTTCATAACAAAAAAGTTTTAATGGTATTAGATATTTAATTGTGTGTGTGTTACCATAGTCTATACAATGTGAGTAGACTGTTTGAAAGATGTCGATATTGTTATGTATCTGCTCATTTGTTAATTTCTGGTATATATTCTCTCCGAGGAACTTCAGCAATACAAGTCCTTTCTTAATTAAAATTAGTTTATTTTTTCTCGATACAACTTTATAATACACAGAATTTCTACAGTCAATACTTTGCAATCCTGATAACAAAACACACACTTTATATTACCATCACTACCGCTCGCTTGACTCAATTATCTGTCTCTATATCTATCTATCTGCAATTATGTCTCCACTTTATTTGCCGAGCTTATATACTAAAAAAAGAGGGCACCTAGAACAGACTAGAGTTGCCAGGAAAAGTCATGATCCTTCTAGAAACTCCAGCGCTAATGCTTCCAGCGTCGCATGACTTCCGCTGTTGTAACAATATCTTGCAGAAGTTAGTCACTTACATCTTTAAAGTATAAAACCTTAAAACTGTCAAAGTAAACCAGTTGGCCTAACTCTCATGATAAAACTCACATGACCACAGATGCTTTTTTTTCACATCCTTATGAAGACCTTTCTGGGAAGGTAGGCAAGAACCTTAGAAAATCATTAAAACCAAAATACATACAACTCCTAAAAACTGTAGGCCAATTTTGGCAAGTTACCAACATTAGCCAGCACTTAACATCCACACACTGTTGACTTACCTTTGAATTATTTCTTTTGCTTTGCTTTTTTATAAATACAAATCACTCTCACTTTTTTTGTTTTTCACAGATTTTGTGCATCAGGAGTACATCATTAGCTGAAAGGTTTGATTGAGGGTAAATGACATGAAAACTTTGGGAACAACTGCTCTAGGAAATGTTATTCGTCAGCTTCTCAACAGCAAGGTATATTCTTTGCAGTTTGTACTGGAGATGTTAGCCTTTAACTTACAGCGTTTGATGTATTTAGTAATCAAGTATAATTATTCTGCAGTGAAGCAATTGATGTTATCTCTCAGTTCTTTTCTTTTTTTTAATAGCAAAGCCACATCAGGCTATCTGCTAGGTCCACCAAGGGGAATTGAACCCCTTATTTTAGCATTGTAAATCCATAGGCTTACTGTTCTCCCACTGGAGGACAAACATTATTTATAACCAAGCAATTTGTGTCAGATATTAGCCTTTAGTTTCCAATCAGATTGGCTAGAATGATGAGAATAGAAAGGAATACCTCTGACTATATCTAAGTAATTTCACTCATAGGACAAAGTACTGGAATCTTGAGGAGCAACATGATGTACTCAGTAGTCAAACCAATTATATTAGATGTTAATTTGTGGTATAAAAACTACCAAAGTATGAAGCAACCAGAAAAACAAGGTTAGATAGATAAACCTTCTCAAACATGTTTAGTAAGAAACCAGTAACTACAAACTAATCTAATGTTTTCCATATTTATTGATGTACTTGAAAACCAATCAATTTATTCATATCATTCTCCACATATATGCAAATTTGGTGTTAAATTATAATCTGCTTTGATAAATAACAGTTAGATCACAAACAAGACTTTAATTGTAAATCAACATACATAAAAAAAGCCTCAACCACTGAATCAGCCATCACCATTCGTTATATTCCTGAAAATGAAGAAATATTTAAATTCTATCACTCCCAAAAAACCCCTCCAAACTTGCATAATAAAAAATCTATACAATAATTTTATAATTTAATTTATATCACTTACTTACAGGTCAAATATCAGCAAAACAAAAGTACATTCATCCTTCAAAGGCTGGTGTGAGCAACTGTTTTAGTTGGTAGGTCTCACAAGTTTAGAACTTTGATGACTGACAGATGCAAAGCCATGTAAAGCATGAGAACATTGAACAGTGCACACTTCATCACGCAGAATTAACTCCAATGGAAAAGTTGATATTAGCATGAAACAATTGGGGATTCTTAGGGAACTACAGATTGGCTGAAAAGAATAAAAACAACAAGTAACTTGTTATTCTAGCTGGCCTAACTAAGCTCAAGGATCAATAAATAGAGAAAGACATGTTGATAAATAAAATTATACAAACAGATAAATAGCAGCACTCAAACAGTAATCAGACATACATACAAAATTGGAACTAAATAAAAATAGATACACAATAAATACAGATGTTGAAGTAAATACACAGATGTACAGATGCAATTATAAAAGTAAATACACAGGTAAATAAAGGTAAGTATTCATATAGGGTTAACAATTTCCTTAACTGAAAATGTATTTCTAATAGATACTTCATTTCACACAACAGCTATTTTTCATGCATCTACATTTTGCAGATATTGCACATGCTACTAACTACACTGTGACAATAGCCATCCACCAACAGGAGGGCAACATATTCTTCATGCACAGTAGATCCCATAAGCACTTGCACTAAAAATTATATTCATTCCTAGACAAGGCAAGAATAATGTCCACCAGTAGTGGGGAGGAATGGTGTTAAGGTGTGCAGAGAAGTATCTATCTATCAGAAATACATTTTCAGATAAGGAAATTGTTAATTTCTGATATAATATCCTTATCTCTTCACACAATAGCTAGAATCCCACACTGATGTGGTGGAGGGGCCAGTGCAATTGCAAAAACCTGGTGAACTCCCTTCAGAGAAGGCAACTAAAGGGGAAATCCCATGGAGTGTGATACCTTAAAGGGGCAACACCTGTGGGAGACTGCTCAGATGGAAATATGAAAGGAAGAAGCCAATGTCAATATGTTGCAAGAATGGGCAAAAAAGTGCATGATCAACTGACCCTTTTTACACAACCAGTCATTTGGATGTGAGGTGTAGTGTGGCTAGGTGAATGTTTGGTATGTGTCATTTACTCGCTGTACCTTACCTGAACAAGGATGAAGGTCCCTTCCTGTCATAGTAGAAGAACACTCTGCTCCAGTCAGGTGGTCAAACCATCAAGAAATTGGTGTATTATAAAAGAAGGTGTGACTTGTATTAGGAATTGGTATGTGATAAGAGACTCACATGCTCCACTGAATGGCCAGAGAGGTAGGAATTGACACTGGGAAAATATTGGGGAGGTGTCCAGACTCAATTGGGCCTAACTGCCACAAAGGTCCTATAATGAAAAAAGTGTAATTGACTACTGCAAAACCTAATTTCAAAAATCAGCATTCATGAGCCAAGGAAGTGGGCACACTTCCTAGTGTTGGATTTTTCTGTGATGGTCCAATGGAAGGTATGGTCTGGAATGAACAATAAAATATATATACACAAACACACACAAACCACCACCATAGTGGTCTTGCAGAAAACTCCAACTCAACATTGGGCACTTTAGGAGTCAGGGTGGATGGGTTTAACAATTTCCATTACTACTGACTCGATGTGGGTTTAGGGAAATATTTATATCCTGCAAGGCAAAACCTGCCACTTGAGAAGTGAAATGTATAAAAGAAGAAATGGGTGAGAAAGTAAAACAGGCACTCACCCATCAAATGGTGAGTTGACTACAAAATGGCCTGAGGTAGTCAAAACTACCAGATAGCAGAGGTAATAGAAGACAAAAGTGGTGGGCATAGTCCATATTCTAGCCTAGAGGACCTCCTATGAGGGTCATCAAAAGTGTGGGGTCAGAAAGTGAGTCAAGTGACGGATTTGATATGATGGGACATGACATAGCCTACAAGCATCTCCATCCAGGGAGGAATATACAACCTTTATGAGTTGAAGAATCCATCAGGTGACCATAAAGGATGAGAAATCCTTGGAAGAAAGGGGGTCCCATGGCAAGAATAAATTATCTTGGGAATCAAAAATGGAGCTGTACATACCAAGTAACAGCTGATTGCTTAAACTGGATACAATAGATTATCAAGATTAGTACAATCATAGAGGGTTGAGATCAACAGAAGAGAACTGGGAGAGAAGGAATGATCTCCCTCTTGAGCTGCCAAAATTGTAGGAAGAAACAAGGATGATCTATGAAACAAAGTATGGGAGGCATCCAATGTATAGAAATAAAATAAGTGACAAACACAACCAATAAGGGAAAGGAAATAGGTTTTGAATGAGATGGTATAATGAGCAAGAGGTTCATGGTTTAAATAGGACCTGTTTGAGAATATGTAGAACCACATTAAGGTTCCAGTCATGCAAACAAAATGGATGAGGAAGGCAATAAATGAGGAAGGACCTGAACAAGGTGGAAATAACTGAGAAGAAAAAACAGAACCATAGCAAAAAATTTTAGAGGCAATCAGCAAGGTCACCTGATAGCCCGCTATCATAGAAATCAACAATCTTTGATTAAACAACAAGGGAAAGGAGGTCACAAGGGGGAGCAACACCCTGGTGGAAGCAAGTGGCAGATGGACCACTGGTGAAGAACACCACTGTCGTTCATAGATACAGAGAGTAGAAGGGCAATGTAACAGGATGAAAGAAGGGCTACAAGATTGGAGAAACCTGAGCAATGAACAAGGAACTAGACAAACCCTACACCCAAAGACAAAGGGACTACACTTCTGAGTGAAAGAGAGATGTACAAGGTTGTTGCTAAAGGTGCACCTACATAAATGGATGAGACCAGTCCTGGCTGAAGGCATCCACAGCCAAAGCAATTGGATGAGGTACTGGGTACCAGAAAAGGGGGAAGATTTTAACTCAGAGAAGTAGCAAATGTATCAATCATTGGTATGCCCAAGTAGGAAATAAACAAATGAAAGACCTGAGGATGAATTCACCATTCCATAATAAGAATCTTGTCTGGTTGAGAAAGATGATCTGCTACCATGTTCAAAGCCCCCAGAACATGACAGGTGGTTAGATGAACCTGATGTGAATGAGCCCAAAACAGAAAGTCCAACATGCTGAAGCAAGGATTCCTGGAGCAAGTCCTACTCTAATGACTGATATGGGAAATAACCATGGGCAGCCAAAAGTTCCAGAACATTGATGTGAAAAGTATGCTTTACATGAAACCAAACCCCTGAGGTCATGGTCATACAGAAATGCACCCCAGCCCATAAGAGATGCATTAATGAAAAGATGGAGATCCTGACATGGGGGTGACAGTGGAATGTAGACTGCAGTATTGGTACGATCCAGCATCCAAGACATGTCCATTCACAACAGTACCAGAGAATAAAGTTATTTCCGAGAGAAAAAGCTTATGTGGATCTACTGCACATGGAGGATGTTTTGCCTTTCTATTGGTGGAGGGCTATTGTCCAATGATGAAACATCATGCTCTAGTGAAGTTCGTGTTAAAACACGTGTCTTAGGTAGGAGATAGCTCAAGGCTAGTGGCATTCACAAAATCTCAAAATCAGATGTGTGAGGAATAGCTCTTGTGTGTGAAGAGAAACGAAAAAGATTTTTCAATAAAGACTAATATGCATAAATAATGGTAGACATATAGATGAAGAAACAAGTACAAAAGTGAAAATAAAAGCGCATTTAAATACAGATAGATATACAGATAAATGTAAATATATAAACAGACAGAAAATATGGTATGCTGAATGCAGCACTGGTTCAAATTAGATGTTTGTGATGTCAAAATACAAAGTCTATGGTTTCTTACGAATCAAAAACACAAATTACCAATATTGACAAGCTAGAATATAAAATAAGAACCTCCTAGCTTTTCTTTTTGTTGAGATATCACTATATTTAGTGAATCAAACAAAGTGGCCTAACCCACTTCTTCCATTTTTGGAAATATTTCTTTGTGTACACCTGTTTTGCTCTCTCGTGGCTTTATAACCAATCAGAAGCTCAGAATTTTCCCCACGTGCTTCTCTTAGGCTATTGGAGTGTCTTAATTTGGAAAGGAGTAAGTGAAAATGTTGTTCAAAATATCATATTTTTTAGAGCCAAATACAGCTTAGTTACTAAGCCTGATGAATTGTAATGGATTTCTGTGGTATTGATATAGTAATTTATGATTTTTTGATATTTCAAAATGTATATATAAAACCTAAAAAAACTTTTGTTTTATATCCTCCATGTGTGAAATTTGACAAGGCTTAGCAAATTACGCAACTGGAAAATGAGTACAAAGTTAGCAAGTAGAAGAGATCATTCTGTTCTATACTTTTTTATTTACTGTTCTATGTTTTAATAAAAAATGACTAAAATTTAGAACTTATTTGTAAATAGTAATAATATATATACACATGTAATGTATTATAACAGAAACGTGACTGTATTTTACAAAATATTGGTCCACAAGTACAAAGCCAAGACAGGTCACTTTGTGAAGGCCAGTCTTATACTATTGGATAAGGCAACATGAGTGCATGTGTGCCGCATTGTTGCAACTTCTGTAATGTTAGTCAGACATGGCTGAAAGGTCAATATAATAAAAATAAAATATATATAGATATATAATTTTATGAGATTTAAGTTATTTATACTAAACATTTGTGGTTTCTTGTTACAATTTATAGTCATTCTAGAATGAAAAAGTGTAATTTATATCCATTTACTAATTTTTTATGGTGGTTACAAGGTCGATTAAATCGACCAAATCCATACGGAGATACAATAGGGGAAAATAACAGATAAAATATAAAATTTTTTATAAACAAAAACGTTTGGTCATTATCTGGAGGTTACTAGAAGGTCATGAAGATTTTGCATGTGAATTTTGACAGTTTTCTGATGCATAAAAGTATTTTTCATCTGAAAATCAAAATTACTTTGCATGTTGGATAGTCAATATCTGAGAAGAAAAAATGCACGAGTAAACCATTACTTAAAAAATCTTAAAATTTAATAAAAAATCTGATATTTTGTGTATGAAAGACTTGTAATGTTTACTGATACTCTGCAAAATTTTGTGAAGATATACATACTGTATTAAAAGTTGTAGTATGAAAACTATAACAAACACAGAGTGGTTATGAGGTCGATCCATGGGTCTGAGCCCACAGTAAGAGTGAAACTAGTTACAATGCATTATCACACAGAAGAAGGTAGTAAAATATACATGTCCATGAAGTTTATAACTATTACAAAGTATCAGTAACTTGCCAAAACACAATTACAGTTCACCTCTACAGAGCTGGTGAGAGTTAGAAATTACTAATTTGCAACTGGTAAAAGTTACAATGTACCATCACTCTGCCAAAGAAGATTACAATATACAAGCACACAGTTGATAAGGGTTGCAATGTATCACTATCCAGCTAACATAGGTTGCAATGTGCCTCTGCATGGCTAATAGTTGCAACAAACTGCCATGCAGTTAAAAAGAATTGCAACTTATTAGGACTGCATCTACTATCACCTAAATGATAATAACATAACATTAAAAAACACACCTCTACGCCAGCCCTTATCATTCAAATATTCATCAAGCTTTCCTTTAAATTAGCTGCATACACCACATCTGAAGGCAATCAAAAAGCTGTCTTAGCTGTAGATGACTCCTACCCTACCAAAATGTTTAGTTGTGTCCTCTAGTCTTTCTATTCTCACCAATAAATACAAAAAACAAAAGATAATGCACCAACACTATCAGTTCCCTTTATTATTTTAAACACTTCAATCAGATCCACTCTAACTCTTCTTTTTTCAAGAGAAAACATATTCAGAGATCTTAATCTATCATCATATGACAAAAAAACACCCCATATATCATCCTAGTAGTCTTCTTCTGAACCCTTTCCAACAATTTAATGTCCTTTCCGAGGTAAGTAGCCCAAGACTAAAAATAGTATCCCAAATGTGGCCTAACCAATGACCTATATAATGATATTATAACCTCTTTAGACTTGCATTTAATATTTCTCTAGATACATCCTAAAATCCTATATGTCCTGCGCTAGCAATAGCACATTGCTTGGATGGCTTAAGAGACTGATCAACCAGAAATTAGGATTTTTCTCTTCCATAACACTTTTAAGGCTATTCCCATCAAAATTATTCTTATAATTGAAATTGTGATATCCTACATGTATTACCTTGCATTTAGTATAATCAAAAGTCATCTGCCATTTATTTGCTCAACTCACCAGATAATCCAAATCGTTTTTTAAGGCAGTAGTATTCTCCTCACAGCTAGCAACAACCAAAACCTTAATATCATAATGAACCATCACACAATTAGTAATATTTATAATATAATGTTACAATCTGAAGATGATTAGTTTATCACCACAATTGGAGATAAGTAAAAAAGACAAGCTCACAGCATTACTAGAAATATTTATATACTTACTCCCTCTGTCATACAGGAGCATGATTTACAAGGAGAAACTCTGCCACTGGTACCAACATTAAGTTGAGTGTTTCCTACACTACAAGAAGACTGTTCCTTCCACTTTTCCAGGTTCAAAGTTGGTAGATTTGTGCATAGAACACGAGGATTTCTTCAAAAAAGGAAATAATTGGCAGATCACACTAGTTTTCTTTCTTTGAAATATATAATACTTAAACATATAGCAAAAGACAAGTTTTGAAGTAATGGAACTCTTTAAATACCAATTATATTCAACCAACCAATTTGACTACAGATTCTGGGAGTTTATTGTAATTATGGTTTAATAGTTTGTTTAAGTATTTAGTTGAAGCTTTGGTGCAACACAGATGAGCTCAATCATGTCAAGAACTTAAATCAATAAGCTAATAAATAGTATCATTACTGTCACCTCACAAGTAATGACGTAGTTTTTAATGTAATAACTATCACTAATGCAAAAATATTTTTTCAACTAATAAAAAATAAAACTAAGACAACAAAAAAAGATAATCTGTGACAAAAAATAAATATTCATTATTTCATTTCTGCAGTGCATATTGGTGTATAAAAGACATTTTAATACTAGTAATACAAGACTTTATAACCCAAATTTATTTTTCTTTAACTGGACAATCAACATTTTGCTTCTTTAGTAAAGCTCCTGAAGAAGCTATAAAGCAAAACGTTGAGTGTCCAATTATAGAAAAATAACAAATTTGGGGTTATAAAGCCATCTATTATTAGCATTAAAAAATAATTATGATAAAAAAATACAAAAGTTATATAAAACAATGATATATAAAAACATAATGTTGCAAAAAATAACTAGTTTGTGATCTATAACAAAAACAACTAAAGTGTAAGGACAGCCAAAGAGTTGTGAAAAACTAAATTCACAGAAACAGCTAAGAAATAAATAACTATCAACAAACTCACAAAAATGGATCTGGGAGATCAAATGATGAACGTTGGATGACATCAATGGTATCAGAGTTACCACATAAAATTCTTGCCAAGTTCACATTCCTAATAGCATCCAGCTGATCTGAAACCACCAAATAATCAGTATTTTCATCAGAGAAAAAAAGCTTCAATTTCCAAGCCATTCTAAATTTAAAATTTCATTTAATAAATCTGTCTAAACACAAAAGAGGACCAGTTGCATAAGAAATGTCATTTTTTATAATATAGTTTCTATTCTAAATTTTTTTTCATTTGATTATGCAAATAGGTTGTGTTGAGCACTTTGCAGTTATACCCTTCATAATTAATTTTTCTTATCAACTTTAGTATACATAAAAACAGACCTTTGATATAAGACTTGAATACAACCACACTGAAAATATTACTAATATAAATTTGATGATGAGGAACCCACTTTGAGACTAATAATGGCTGGAGACCAACACCCCACGGGT